GACTTCAAGACCACGGCCACACAGCCCGGAAGACCCACACCAGCCATTTTCCACATATGTTCATCTCCAATACGTATCAACTCTGCAAATCCTCATGAACAGCACCTGCAAAGGTAAGTGATGCTGTACACTGTTTCCATGTTATAAACTTGCTACTCATGATATTGAAGGTTGATTACAAGAGTGCCTTTTCTATAGGTACGTATTCATAATTCCCCTCATTTATTGAGAAGCGATCTGATTGTGCTGCCATTCTTTCTTCCGCAACTGCTTTGGCTTATAATTTAGAACATACAGTAGATTCTGCCAAGTTTCTGTTGCAGATTATAAACTGTAGAAGTTATCTCTTTATTATTAAGTCTGGATGAGTTTTCTTCATTTTTGCTGGGGTTTATTTCCATGGCTCCAATTACTCATTATATTTGGATATGCAAAGTTCTATGATAGATAATTTTGCAGCTGTACATGCTCTTTACAAATAGTCAAGGGAAATGCAGTAAGAGTTTAGAATTCTTGTTGGTTAGGTCAGAATTGAAAAAAAAATTGTAATGACTAGTTTAAATTTATGGATTGCTATGTTAAAGACATTTTTCATATGTGAATTACTGTATTAACTCACATGGTAACCCTGCAAACATTTGACCAGTTGAATGCTCCCATGTAGTTAGAGATTACCATTGCTTCCTAGGAAATGTTTTATACATATGTGGGAGCTTATTTAAAATGCCATAAATGGAGGAGGGAGGGGGAAGCACATATTTGCCAGTAGAAATTAATGCAAAAGTAGAGGTATATATAATGGAATCGGAACCATTTGAAATGTGAAAGATCCCCTTTTGATGCAAAACACCCCATTACATGTGCAAAACAGTTGTTTTGAACACAAAAAGCAGTGTTTCAATCATTTCAGAAGTGCTTCAAGCTTAAAACAAGCTATTTGCCCTTGAAATAGTATTTTAAATTCAAAGTGGGGTATTTCAAATGTGAAATAGTTAAAATTCACCATGTTTTACAATATATATGCACAAGTAAAAATAACTAGCCAGAAGGAAAGCATGTGGTTTGAGATTCAAGAGAAGGACAAAGGAATTGGACTTGAGAAACATAGCTCAGAAAAATTCCCAATCCTGCATTGGGTCTTTTATACTGAGAATAAGATTTTCTTCTGGAGTATCCTTCTTGTTTGAGAGGTGGATTACAGTATCTGCTACTGGAGCCCAGCCCCAATTCTGTTGACAAGCTCCAGAAGCAACTTGAATTAAGCTTAATGAGGCAGGGAAGTGCAGGTGAGGTTGGAAACAGAAGGAGGAATATCAACTTCTTTTTCTGGTCCACCACAAAATGAAAGTAATATTTTTATTTCAAACTGGAAGATGTAAATGAGTTATTAATTCTGAGCCATGCTAATTCAGCATTATAATACTGTGTTGTATAAAAATAGAAAGAAATTAAAAGAATTTAAACTATAGTTGTGTTGAAACTTGAAGCATATACGTCTCGCTCTTGGTTCACTGCCAGTGTTTAAAACACCCAACGGCTAATACTTTGTCTACATTATATGCCAGAGGTTTTTTGGCATTGTCAGTGTAAGGTTATATTAGGTCAACCTGGTTTAAAAACAGCCTTAAGAAATTATGCTATGACATACTTGTTTATAGCTTTTATTTTGCAATCATTGTAGAAACAAATTATCTACTGATGCAAAATATTTATCTTGTAAGCATGAATTATTGGCTGGTAAAATATCTGATTACTTTCTGGACCAAAAGTAATAAATGTCTAGGAATAACACTATAAATTACTACTATCTTTTCATCACCATTTCAGATGATGTATAAGCTTTGAACCTGCACATTGTTCTCCTAATGTAACAAAAATTTTGTGTGAGCAAACTATGTATACTTAGCATTGGCTTCAGGCCAGGTTTTATAATTAGATATTTCCATGAAAAGAAAATAATTCAGATTGGTAGGACAGCTCATTCTCCTTAGGGGTGAAATCTTTGGACTAGTAGATCCTGAAAGTAAAAGCTCACTGCGGTGAAAACAAGCATGATTATGGCTAGCTGTATACATTTATTTTTTAAAAAATATTCATTAATATTCATTTTGCATAACCTGTTGTAGATATTTTATTTATGATGGGTTGGTAGTATTAATGGCGTACACTATTTTCAGTTTTGAAAGATCTAATATGGCACAGTTATGAGGCATAGTGTCTTACATATGGCCTCTGGTTTTGTCCCCAGACGTACAGCATGTAATATTTCCGTGGCATTGGTCAGCACTCAGCAGTGTTCCCATCTTCTCCTCTATGGGGCAGTCAGTGGGGATGGAGATGTTAGCAGTTCTTTTTAGCCACTGCCAAAGGGGGAGTGATGAAAACCATAGCTACCTATGCCTCAGCTCCTTTCTTATACCCTCACTACTTCTGCTTTTTATGGCTAGGGGAAAAGTTTTTAAAAATGAATGATTGAATTATTAATATATTTTGTACAGTATTGTTTTAAAAAACCAAGTACCTGTCATATAGTCTCTACTTGGACACTGCTGAATTAGTTTCCTTCATTTTGTCTTAAATAGTTTACAGTACAATTGAATACATGAGGATTTGGATTGATTTTCCAACATTTCATAGGTTATAGTAAAAATAAAGTAAGAGATTATGTATATTACTGTGCTCCTAAAGGAAACTCATATGTGTAACCTATTAATAAATATTAATAAATTACTTCCCAGATAACATAATCTGTACTGTGATCATCAGCCAAAAACTCATTGGCTGGATTTTCACAACATGCTTAACTTGGTTGCTGAATTAATATATTTGCACAATACATTGAATCATATACTGACCAAATGCTCTGGATTTGTGTAGCACACTAAGCCATGAAAAACTAACCAGATTAAAACTATCTAAGTTTGTCTGTAGGTCCTAAGCATTTAACTGCCTTGGTTAAGCGTTTGTGTGATTCCAGCCACCGGATGACTGAATTGGTCCTTTCCTTTCAGCTAGCTTAATTTATAGGATTGCTGTGGATATAAAAATGAAGAGAAGCTACTGTATACTGCCTTGGAAAAAAGCCAAGATGTAAATGAAATACCTATAAAATTAACATAATTTGCTAGAGTATTAGGATCTGTTTTACAAATATTTACTCAGATTAAAGCTACAGATATAAATAATTATGGAATGCAGTAAGAGTAGATTAGATTCATTGGGACTGATGGTCCAATTACTGGTTCTAACTCTCCCTC